CACCTCAAGGGCTCCCTTTGTGCCGGGCCCAGCCGATGGAAAGGAAAAGGTCCGGAGCTGATGCCCCGGCCGCCCGCCCGCGCCTGGAGAGCAGAGATATGCGATGGAGGCCTTTTTTTTTTCAGTCCGCTGGTTTGCGAAATGGTGGCGTCTCTTTTATCGGAACAGGGAGATTTTTTTCGGTTCCTTGAGACTTGCGGGTTTTTTTTAAACTTGTGTTCTTCTAAAGGATAATTGCGAGCGTGTGGGCGTAAGGGACAGAGGTTTCATTTCCTACGCTGTTGGAGAACTTCTCGGCGTTAGCAGTCGGGTCTCATTGGCGTCTCTGGCTACCTTCGTAACTCCTCTGGTTTTTACGAAGTTAATGGGCAAGAGAAATACCTTTTCGAAGATGCCTTGAAAGTTAACTAGCAGAAAATCCTAGTATCGCAAACTTTAAAATTTTGCTGGAAGCCAGCACTGACACACCTTAAAACAGCTGAGAAGTCGGAATTCCTTTTCCACTCTCTTGAAATGCTCTCTTCAATGTGCCTTTTTATTCACTGGGACAACATGCGTTTTGTTGTGAATGCCGGGGTTAGGAAGCAGTAGTCTTCTGGTCTTCCCTTTGTGTTTTCCCAAGATGCGGATGCTCAAGGCGAGCCAATAGATTTTGTTTCAACAGATTTTGGACTGGGGACATTTTGTCTCCCTGGTACCATTGTAAGGAGTCTTTGATCCATGCTTGCTTTATGTAAGGGCCAGACTTTGCATTGTCTTTCCACAGTTTTGCAACCTTTTTGTTACATACAGAGTCAATATTAAGACATGTGTATGAAATGTTATCTTCCAAGAACCACATAAGTTGTTGCTGACTACAGGAAGGTAAGATCACAAGCAGGAAGCTGCCTGACCAACAGTGTTACTGCCTCAGTTCAAGCTCAGTCACTCCGACTCAAAGAGGCAGCTGCTCTCAATTCAGCATAATGGTGTTTCATCCCTCTTCTGAATAGCCTTAAATCAATACCCGGTTGAAAACTGGGGGTAAGCTGGTTGAGCTAGCATTTTGGGTTGGAGGAGTGTAAGCTGTTGTTTTGGGTTTACATAATCTATATTTCCCATTCAAACCGAACAGGGCAATCAATGTAATGTAAGCTTTTTGTCAGTTCTAACTGGAATGTCCACTTGCTGTGGTAGTCTTGCTTCTTGTCACAAACTTATGCATAATATTTTTCATGTTTTTGGGCTGGTTGGCTGCATCCTGGAAGTGGGGGAATTGAAGAGCCATCAAAGCAATTGATACACTTAATGGTTACTTTATGTGAGGGGATAGGTAGTGGAAGGTCGCTGAAAGTACAGCTATTAGGGAAGTTTCTTTGGTGTCTAAAGATGTTAGGCAACACTTTCTAGAAAGGCAAAAAAAAGTTTGATGCATGTCTTTATAATTATCACTGAGGAAACAAAAAAGCAAGTGCTCTTGTTGCACACTGCCTGGGAAGAAATTTTTCTAAAATACAAGAGTACACTGATGTGATTTGCATAGACAAAAATCCACATACTAATTGTTATTGTCTGCTTCTCTTTCAGATTGAAGCAAGTGAATTGTGATATAACTGAACTTCAATAGAGGGCTTTTTTTAAAAAAAAGTTGTTCCACAGTGCATCAGAGCAAGTTACTGCTTTACTTTTGAGTGACTTACAGGTGCTTGCCTGCATTGCAATAAAGGACTCATATATTGAGCAAGACTTATTTATCTCTTCATTTTGGAGAGTCTAATAAACTGTTATTACAGTTTCTGTACTGACTTTCAAAGTTTTGAAGTCTAAAAAGACATCTTTAAAGATAAAAGCATGAGCACGGCCAGAACAGAGAACCCTGTTATAATGGGTCTATCCAGTCAGAATGGGCAGTTGAGAGGCCCTGTAAAACCCAGCGGGGGCCCAGGAGGTGGAGGCACACAAACTCAGCAACAGATGAACCAGCTGAAAAATGCCAACACAATCAATAATGGCACTCAACAGCAAGCACAGAGTATGACCACCGCTATTAAGTAAGTATTTGTATTGGCTGCCGTAAAAGGAATGTTTAAAAGTTATGTATGGGAAAGCATTCTTGGATTCCCCCTTGGAAAATGCTGTCTTCTGTTATTTTGTCACATGGGTGGTTAGAAGTGTCCTGTCATGTACATTACGAAGAGGCTGTATTTCCATGTGTAAGCTTCTCTCCAACAGTTACTATTGTGAAAATCCAATTTGATGCTGTGCTTTTCTGAGTGTGAGCCACTGTCAGAGGTAGCCTAGCTTTAGAAGCCTGTGTTTTTTGCTTGTTGGAAGTGGTGCAAGAGGGAAGTATAGGAGTGAAAAGGAACGGAACTGACATTTAAGACTGAGAAGGAAATGCCACCTGGTCTCAGTCTAATTGTTTACGCCTTTCAGTTTGTTGCAGTTCTTTCCCGTGGTGAGAAATGCTTTAAAGTCATTTATCTTTTGTCACTGATCTTAAATAGTAGTACCTGATCTTCTCATTGTAATGCTCTGGCTTTAATTTATCAAAGGCTGAGCTGAGAGGATACAGTCCCACTGTGATATCCTGCTCCCCATCCCAGCTAGTTTTGGAAGTGTGCTGGTTGGAATTTCTAAAAGGTGTGAAATATTTGGATGGTATGGTGATGTGTTGCTTTCCTTTTTTGTGTTTTTTTTTGGGTTTTTTTTCCCCCCCATGGATCCTCCTCCTCCTGAACAGCATTGGCTTTTATTTTATTTTGTTAATTATTTGTGAAGGAAGTGCTAGCTCTCCTCAGAGAAAGTGTGATGGAACACTCAGGTTCTTAAAATCTGCCTAACCTGCTCCCTCCTCCTCTTTTTTAAAAACGTATTATGTGGTTACTCTAATGAATGTTGTGAATTAAACTCATCACAATTCACGCATAACTTCCTGGGGCTGGTGACAAGAAAGACTTTCTCTCACTCTACAGTGACTTTCAAGAGAGGATGGGTATCTGAATCTCACGGAGAGAAAACAAAGTTTAGTCAACAAGTGGAGTGATTGCTTACTAAGTTTTTTCACCAGAAGCGTTTTTTACCTTTTCACCTTACTTGGGGGTTAAGAGTGGATGTTTCTTGGGCAAGAGAATTTTTCTTTTAAGTCATGAAATATTGTTGTGTGGGTTTATTATAGCCAGTTTCTGTTATGTGACTAAGTGCGTGCTCAGTTTTATATCTGTTCTGTTGTTTGATTCAGTGCCATAAAAATGGGACCTGAATCATGACTGGATAAAGATTTCTCAGACTTATTTGGCAGACAGGTGATTTTGTCTGTTTACAGTTTTTTGCCTGTTACATCCTGCTTAGCTCACAGAGGACGTGAGCTCATATGTGTAGGCGCTTTTAGCTTTGAGGAGGTGAAAATATTATATGTTCATCACTATATCTAAGAAAAAAAACCTGCAAAATCAAAGTATTCATTATTTAAAAATTTGTTTTCATTTTATTTTGCTATAGACCTGGTGATGACTGGAAGAAGACTTTAAAACTCCCTCCAAAGGATTTGAGAATCAAAACTTCGGTAAGGATGATTGAATTGTAGGTATAAATATTAAATAAAACTGGTGAGAGAGATTGCAGTGGTAAAATACTGTCCTGAGTGAAGGCTGAAAAGTAGTTCAGCTCCCGCTGTTTTAAATGAAGAATTAATTTGTTCTCTCAACTGCTTGTGAGTGATGCTATGCTATTCTTGGAAAGCTCAGAAATGGTGTTCACTGTGGATTTCTTACTTTATTAGTATTATAACATGACACAGGCAGCCTCTGCTTCATGTGAGGCAGATGGGAAGGTGTCACTGTATACACTCAGAAGCTGTGTTTGGCTCTGAGAAAGCCAGTGTTTCCTTTGCTGCTCTAGGGTGTTGCATTGTTGTTGTTGACTTAATGGGAACTCTTGTGTAGTAATTTGTGGTCTTCCTGTACAGGCAATTTCCGATCAAATTAACAGCTGTAGGTTGTATGACCTGATCTTATGGATGTGCTTATTTTTTTTTTTTTATTATTATTCAGGACGTGACCTCCACAAAAGGAAATGAGTTTGAAGATTACTGTTTGAAACGGGAGTTGCTGATGGGAATTTTTGAAATGGGCTGGGAAAAACCATCTCCTATTCAGGTTGTTTTCAAACTGACTACTTAGATGCTGCTTTTAACTTCTGTAGATGTTAACTTCTGTCGATGTTAACTTCTGTAGATGTTCTTATGCCTAACTGTCCAATACTTATGCCATCATTGGGGAAAATTGAAGCTGTGAATGAAAGAACTTGGTCTCTCTTGGGAAAAGCAAGAATTTCTAACCCCCAACTAAATCACTAAGTCAATCTTTGAGTGACTTAGTGATGGGACTGCCTTTACACTTTTGAGACATTTTACTTGGATTTTCCTTTTCATGCTGGAGATGTTAATTTGATAATTCTCTGTTCAGTAACAGTGCTTTCACATAAGTAGTCCCAGAGATCTGTTCTATAAATTTTCCAAAACTGAGTTACCATTGGCTATGTACCTTTAGTTGTTAAAAATATGATTATGGCTTTATCGCAGTGTTGGCTCTTTTTATTGTAATCATGTGGAAGAAGAGTTATGAAGTTTGTCGGAGAGAGAATAATATCTTAGCAAGTTTACTTTTCTGTACCTCCATCTTTCTTATACTTCTAAGGCTTGTCCTGTTAAGAACTGTTAAACTTTGGGGGGTGGAAGGTTGAATTACCTTTTAAATGGTCTCTCAAGGTTTATCACTGACACAGCTTTACCACCTCATCTCTTTAAGGCATGAGAAAACTATGGCTGGCTTTGTTTATAAACAGATTCTAATTATGGCACTTTTCCAAAAGGCTGAAATTTCTTTAGATGTTCCTGAAAAAGGGAGTGAAATTAAAAATACATGGGGCCTGTGTTTGGGTGGCTGAAGATTTTGAGAAGTATGTCACAGGAATATAGAGGCTGGAATCACATGGGCTGAGGTGGTTCTAATGCTCAGATTAAGGGGGGAATCTTTTTCCTTAGGAGGAGTTTGCTGGTGACTGTCACTGTCTCTTCACTATTTGTTTTCCCAACTTTTCACTTTTTTCCTAATGTGTTAGTATGGGTTTACCTGTGGTACCTGATCCCTTTCTTACGATCAGGCAAGATAGGGACTTCTAGGTGGGAAGTGCTGGGGGAGTTCTTTACTGATGGGTTTAACTTCTTCCTGTTCTGAGTCTGTCATGCTTGTAGTTCCAGGATAGTAATAATAATAATGGTCATGAAACAGTCAGCTTTCATGTGGTATTATTAGTGAGGGGAGTCAAATTTGGTCAGCCTCTTCAGTGAAACATGACTTACGATTAATTGCTCGTGCACTTTCTGTCCTTGCATTTCAGGAGGAGAGCATCCCCATTGCTTTATCTGGTAGGGATATCTTGGCTAGAGCAAAAAATGGAACAGGCAAGAGTGGAGCCTACCTCATTCCTTTACTTGAACGGCTAGACTTAAAGAAGGACAATATACAAGGTCAGTTGAGGTGGATCACACTTAGCTGTTGCCAGGTAATGGTGTCAGTCACTACATTAGAGACTTGAATCTAAAACTGGTTAATGAAATTGGGCAGTGTATGTTACCTGCTTGTACTTCCAGAGAAAGCTAATGAGGAGTGATGATGGGGAGGTGTAATTTGCAAAGTCCCACAGTTGTTTTCAAAAGGTTCAAATAGAAGAAGGCTTGTAGACTTTTCTGTCTTGCCCTGGAAGGTGAATGTGGAATAATAATAAGCAAGCATGCTGGCTGGGATACTTGTGCAATGAGTGCATCAAGGACTGGAGAACCCTTGCATGGAATTTGCCTTGTCAAAAGCAGTTGCTAGGTCTTGTTCAGGATACCTGGACTGGAATTCCTAGACTGTGCTTTTCATTGTTTTACATGAAGTCTCTGTCTCCTCTGAGGATGAGTTTTTAAGATACAGGGTGTTACTAATAACTCACAGTGATGTTTTTAACTTCTAGCAATGGTGATTGTTCCCACCCGTGAACTAGCCCTGCAGGTCAGTCAAATCTGTATCCAAGTCAGCAAGCACATGGGAGGTGCCAAAGTGATGGCAACAACGGGAGGAACCAATTTGCGAGATGACATAATGAGACTTGATGATACAGGTCAGAGCATTTTAGCTATGCTAAGGTTGCTGTTTCTTTGTGGCTTTTGCAATGGGGTCGTGGAATTTCTGCTTGGTACTATTTGCCTGTTTACAGAACAGACTACAGTGTCTTGTTTGGTGTTCGTATACTGTTGTCATTCTTCCAAAGTGTTCATATGAAACATGGCCATGAATACTGGAAGGAAACTGGAAAGACAGTTTTAATCATCTTAACATTGTGGTGTTTTTTTTTGTTTGTTTGTTTGTTTGTTTGTTTGTTTGTTTGTTTTTCTCTCTCTTTTTTTTTTCACTCTCTCTCTTCTAACCTTACAGTGCATGTGGTGATAGCTACCCCTGGGAGAATTCTCGATCTCATCAAGAAAGGAGTAGCAAAAGTTGAGCATGTCCAGATGATAGTATTGGATGAGGCAAGTTGCTTATGTTAAATGTTCTGGGATTTTAACACCAAGTTAAAGAAATTATGTGTCTCAGTTAGTGTCCTTTTGGTGCACAGCAGTGATTCAAACTTGCTTAGAGACATTGTAAGGTCTCCTCCATTTCTGAGTATTTTTGAGAAACTGTTTTGACAGGAAGAATTTTTTGCATGTAAATCTTCTAAGAAAACAGCCTAGGAAGATTTGCCTTTCTTGTCTTTGCTGATGCTGAAGAATAGAGTAAGTCTATTCTGCAACAAAGAAATGCATTTCCTTTGGTTTCTGTTTGAGTCAGCTGTGCTTACCATGTATATAAATGTATATAAAATTGACTTATGAACATCTAATAGCATAAGCTTCTGAGTGAAAATATAGTAGTTTGAAAGCTCTTGGATGGCTCTGGTGGGAGCCTTGGTAACTGGTTTTTTTTCCTTTCCCCAAATGTGTAGCTACCAAAAGGCTAAAATCTTACACTATTATTTTAACTTGCTGTTTATTACTTCTGTTGTTACAGGCAGATAAATTGCTGTCTCAAGATTTTGTTCAAATAATGGAAGACATAATCCTCACACTACCTAAAAACAGACAGATTTTGCTCTACTCAGCCACTTTTCCTTTGAGTGTGCAGAAGTTCATGGTGAGTGGACATGTGTCCCTGTAGGTACGATGATGGTGGTGACATTGTGCAGGACGGGTGTGAATGAGTGGTGCATAGCTGTTAGTGTTTGGTATTTTAAATACATCTAAACTTCACAGGTTTAATCTAAATCAGCCTAGGCCTAAGTCTAGGACAGAAGTTTGAAAGCAGTTTTTGACCTGCAGTTGCATTATTGGGAAGCTAGGTGTATGCCTATAAGGTGCTATTTTCCACTTTGTATATTAGTTAAATCATCTGTGTGGATTTGCTTGTGGAGGGTGCTCCTGTTTGGCCTGCTTAGTCACCTTGGATATATAAGTAATTGTGAAAATTTACCCACCCTGTTTTCAGCATAGCATGAAGAGTGAGTGGCTAAGTAGTGCATCCTTGCCTTGGAGGAAGTTATGTGTGGTGTAGAGTGGGAACTGCATACATTGTTTTGCACGTAGATCTGCCTGCTTTATGAATATCTTTATTTTTCAGAATTCCCATTTGCAGAAACCGTATGAGATAAATCTGATGGAGGAGCTGACCTTGAAGGGAGTTACTCAGTACTATGCCTATGTCACTGAGCGTCAGAAAGTGCACTGCCTCAATACACTCTTTTCCAGGGTAAGGAGCAGGGCTGTGTAGGGAACATACCAGAAGCTTTTTCTCTCTTGGGATCATGAATAAGGCTGAGTATTTTAAAAGCAGCCTAATGAAAGTTCTTTATCAAAATATGTTATGTATCTAAGGCTAATAATGCATGCTTCTTGTCCAGCATCTCTGTGTTACAGAACTTTCTTAATTGTTTCCCTTCCTATACAGAAATATATCTGATTTAAATTACCAGCAGCATACTTGCTGTGCTTTCTTTCTACATGGGATTTAGACGTGTCTGGGATCCTCTGTTAGTAAAATGCTGCATTTATTGAGAATACTGTTTATATGTTCAGCTCCAGATTAACCAGTCGATCATTTTCTGCAACTCCTCTCAACGGGTTGAATTGCTAGCCAAAAAGATCTCCCAGCTGGGCTATTCCTGCTTTTATATCCATGCTAAAATGAGGCAGGTGAGTATGAAGTCTTTTCCACCCCACCTCAGGTTTTACTGAACAGCCGAACTAAGTCTCATGCTTGCTTTAAATTTGCATGTTCTTCATAAACTGAGGCATGTATTGCTTTGCTATAGCTTTGGTTTTAGATACTCACTGCCAACCTTCCCCCATCCCAGCTCTCTTTCTGGACTATTCAGTGTATGTGTCCAGTTGGTATTTTACTACTTCATGTCAGGGTAATTAGTCCCAGTGTAAGCACTAACTGCAGCCAGAAGGCCCAGTTTTTAGTGCTGCTGCCTTGCTTTGGCAGCATGGGGAGCCAGGATAGAGCACACAGTGTAACTAACTCAGATGAAAACGGGCCTGAATTAAATTACAAAAACCACGGTACGTAGTAGCCCATTGAGTGCCCGCTGTGGCTTTGCAAACAGTAATCTTGCACTGTGACTGCAGGGGAATATGAGAAGTTGAGCCGATGGATTGAATCAAACCTCTTGGTGAAAGCTGTGGCTATACATACATAACCATACATTTGTGGCTGTGGTGTTGCTGGTACAAAATGCCATTGCAGCTCTGCTGGTGCGGAGATTTCTGTTAATTGTACAGTAGCTCCTGTACAATACTTCCTCTAGCTTCACGCTATTAAAGGATGTCAGAAGGCTGAAGTGATGCATGTAGAACAGGCTTACTTTTAAACATTTTTTTTTAAATTTTATATGTAAACTAGGATAACTTGCTGCTCATGCAACTGACAGGTGGTGCCAATGTTTGCTGGGGCAGATGCAGAGCAATAATTGGGCAGAAACAGAAGTGGTGGTGTTACTGAGAACAGGGAGATATGGAAGTGGGTTTCTTGATGTTTGATTTTTGTATGCTTTTGATCAGTCAGTAGATGATCTTTTTGGATGAGTGCAGCTAAGTTTCCAGAATGCTTCAGCTTGTTCATTCCCTCTCTAAATTTCACTCAACAGTGATAGTACTTAATCTTAGTGTAGCCCAGAGTGAGGTGTTTGTGAGGGGAGAGTCTTCACAGATAACTGACTCATCCCACCCCTAATTCTGTTAAAGGAAAGGAAAGTTACTACCAGCTTCAGTTTTTGGGGGAGTGAGTCAAACATTTGAAATTTGGCAAGGGGGAGCTGGAGAAAGAGAACAGTCAAAATATCAGTTTAACTTCCTTGATGTGATTTCAGGTGATTTTTTTCTTTAGATAGTCCTTTTCTGAGATAGTTTTGATGCCACCATAGGAGGTTTTAAAACACAGTAAGTTAATTGCCTTTGTTGAGAAATGGGATCAAAACTCTGTAGAGTTAGTTCTTTAGAATATATGGTAAGAAGTGCTACAAAATTTGTACTGGCATCTTGTTTCAACTCAGCTGTTCTCTAACGACAAGGGGAAGAGGAAATGTATGCGATTGAAGTTGGGTGTTAGTTACTGGAATATACCTAAAAGTAACAGCTGATTGGTTTGTGGGTTTTGGTTTTTTGTTTCTCTTTGTTTATATGTATGTATTTCCAGGAGCACCGCAATCGTGTATTCCATGATTTCCGAAATGGCTTGTGCCGCAATCTCGTTTGCACTGGTGAGAGTTCCTAAACATTTTCCTGTTTCTAAAGTTTATGATAGAAAGTGCATTATCCCAGTATTGTAGATCAGTTAGCTGTAATAAACCAAAACAAGATGTTTTAGTAAAATGTCACTTTGTCAAGCCTGCCTGTTAGCAGGGTGCAGCACTCCTTTGGGCATTAGGAATTTTGTCTTTTGTGAAGGTGCAGCTTGCCAACAAATAATTTTACTGCAATAGTGTTTTTATTTTCACGTGTGAGGGTTCCCTGAGTTGTTGGGTCGTAAACTGTATGATATATCAGTACAGATGTGACTATGGTCATATGATGTTTTGATGATTCTTTTAAGTGTTTATAGCTCACTTTTTCTAAATTCTTCTGTAGTTTTGACTGGCCTGAGTATGATCTGAGTTCTTTGTTGTATGGCCTATTTATGGCAATACCTGGCAGTGTCTGCTGTCACTACATATGTCTGGGCCATCTTAACAAAAATCGCTAGAAGCAGAATAGAAGTAGTTGAGGTGATGGAATGTAGTTCAGGTCTCAAGTCTGTTGTGACACTGGCAGTGCACAATTCTGTGTGAAGAGATGCTTGAGAGGAACTGCTCTGAAATAGTGTAATGTGGAAAAAATAGCTTTGTGGTTATTTTTTCTGCGTAGATGTGCAGATCTGGTGGTTTTTGTTTTTCTTCTTACATTATTCATGTTTACAAGGTATACAGAGCAAGAGGAAGCTGTAACACGATTGTATGTAAACTGCCTTTGATACAAGGAAAGCGTATATTTGGAAACTAGTGCAAAGCAATGTTAATCTTTACACCCTAAACGCTGTCAGCGTTTGAGCTCATTGAAATTAACTTCCTTTGTGATCTGGATTGTCTTTCAGATCTGTTTACCCGAGGTATTGATATCCAGGCTGTGAATGTGGTGATAAATTTTGATTTCCCAAAGCTGGCAGAAACTTATCTTCATCGCATTGGCAGATCAGGTGAGAGGAAAAACTTGTTTTAGGTACAACTTTGCTGAGGGCTGTGATGCTTTTTAGCCTTGAATTGACTTTTGGTTTTTTATTACTATATTTGAGAATTACCTTAGGTAGCTTTGATTTTTCTGACAAATTTATTTTTGGGTATCATTTCAGATGGCTGTCCTCACTGAGGATATTATCTGAATAAAGGGCTGTTCTCTTGAAACTGGCCTGAACAATCTAATGGGGGAAAAAAGGAGGCATATCTTGCTTTTATCTCAGGAGACTTACTATTGCCCCTGTTTGCAGTTGGGGAAAATTCTGTACTAAAATCTCAGCTTCAGAGTGTCTCAAGCCTAGAGATGTATGTGTCTTTCTTCTGCATGTGTTTTGAGATATGTTTCTACTGTCTGGGAATCAGCAGAATTGGCCCTGGAGAAAGGCAAAAAACAAAGGAACTTGGTGTAGTTGAACTTTATAGTTGAGGCTTGTTCAAGAGCTCTGGAAGACTTTTTGCTGGTGATTATCCAGGAGCTTTGGTCAGAGCATTTTGAACCTCCTGAGTTTTACTCCTACAGCACTACAAAACTCCTTACCAAAAACTGATGTGAAAGGTGTAGACACCTGTGGCTGGATTGTTTTTAACATCACAGAATGATACTAACTTCACTGTCTGCAGATTTTTTTTCTGTCAGCCTCTATGTTAACTCTGTTCAGTTTAGGTGTATGTTTTTGGTTTTTTGTCAAGGTCGCTTTGGTCATCTTGGCCTGGCCATCAACTTAATCACCTATGATGATCGATTCAACCTGAAAAGTATTGAGGAACAGTTGGGAACTGAAATTAAACCCATACCAAGCAACATCGACAAGAGCTTGTATGTGGCAGAATACCACAGTGAACCTGTAGAAGATGAGAAACAGTAAACATGCAGGTATGTAAATGCCTTGCTGAATAGTGATGTGTTGAATGAAGGGATGTTGTTGATGTGTCAGTGTCACCTCAGGGGAAGAGGGAAACTGATGTGATGAAAAAGCTCTGAATGTAAAAACACGGATTTGAAATAGAATGTCAGTGCAAGGAATTCCATGGATGTGCTGAAGGTGGGAGGGATGAGTATTTTTCAGTTGTTCTAATTGAAATGCTAACCATGTGTTAAGGAGATCAAAAATGGGGAAAAGGGTGAGTGGGGAATGGTTGATGGAGTACTAGTAGCCTAATGAACTCTTTCTGTATTGTAAGCTGAAATGAGAAATTGATGAGGGGCAGAGAGGAAAGTAGTCCTCAAAAAGGTGAGGAGATAAAATGGATAGCTGTGAGAACAGAGCATCAACCAAGGCGTAAGCGCCTCACCAGCCAGAACGACCAGGTTCAAGCAAAAGGTGCTGCCTCTTGTATCCTTTGGTTCATAGAATTGTTGTAAGTGAACAAAGTAGGGAGTGAAGCTGTAATTCATCTTTGCTGCCACTTGAGGTCGTCTACGTAGTTTCAACAGAAAATGAGGTTTCACTATTGGAGACTCATCTAAGTGCTCCCTCTCTGATCAGTGTCTCAGGAAAAGCTGCTGAGTTAAGTCCTTTTATAGGAAGAAGACTTGCCCTGGACTGCAGTCAAGCTAAATTGGCTGCAGGATGATGATCTGACCTGAGTTAAGATGTCATGCAAGATCCATCACTATACAGTTTGGGCTGAAAATCATTCTTGTGTGTACTCTTCTCAGAGGTCAGGAATTAGAAAGACAATACCAGTGAAGCTGCTGAAATTCTTTTCAGATGACCAAAGATAAAAAAGTGGCTATAGAAGCAGGCTGCTTGATAGTGTTAAAATGAACCTGTGGTTCCTTCTTTGAAGTCATCCAAGGATAGCCCTAGATAGTCATACCAAGCTGACTTGAAAGCTTCTGCTTTGATGATTGAACCTTCTCCATGTCTATAAATAAATAGAATACAAAACAAGTAATGAATGTGGAACAGGCTCTTGGATGGTAAGGGTTAACGAATGTGGACAGCTTCCTAAGGGGAATGCTGGGACCTTGCCCACGAGCAGTTTGCTGCTTCCTAAAATACAAAAAACCAGGAGGTAGTCATGTTCCATAGGTACAGAAGGGCTTTAGCATCACCTCTTTCTACAAAGCTGAAATTGGTATTGAGCTGTTCAATATGCCCTTTGCCTTTTGAGAGCTGTTGCATAGTTATTGTATGTGATTCATTACTTTGTGTTCTGGTTTTGTATAGAACTGATTTAACTGAGGGTGTTGTGGTTGTTTGTTTTATTGGGTTTTTTCTGCCTTTTTTCTGGTTTTTGATTGTTTGTTTGTGGGGTTTCTTTGGTTGGTTGTTTTGGTTTTTTTTCTTTTTTTTTTTTTTTGTTGGTTGGTTTTGAGGGGTTGTTTTGTTTGTTTGGTTTGATTTTGGTGGTTTTGTTGTTGTTTTGTTTCATTTTTTTTTTTTAGGCTTTGATTACACATGCCAGAAGGTGAAGCCCTATGATCCAGATCTGTGACACATCGTTTCTTTGGGGATACCCTTCTCTTTGTGGGTTTTTCTTCATCTTTTCATTTCGGAACTATGAAGACTAAAAGAACTCGGCCTTTTTTTCTCTTTAAATTTGGCAGCAAGGAAGAAAGAAGATAAAAGGAAGAATGTCTTTTTGTTTTTCCACTTTTTGCACTGTGTGCTGATTGAACATTAGTTGCACTAACTGCTGGTTTTAAATTTTGTTTTCTTTGGGCGGGAGGGTCAGCAAGGGAAGAAGAGAAACCCTGAAAAGAGAAGAATCTTGATGAACACGAGCTTGTCTGCTATTTCAAATTCTTTAACCATTGACTGAGTGCATTTCAACTTCTCCCTGGTTACTCATCTGTTTTTTAAGCTAAAGAGCTTCTTACTTATTCGTGCAAAGTGCCTTATGCTATGAGACCATTCAGAATATCACCTTTCCAACACAGCCCAAGGAATCAACATCTGTTTTTGGTTTCAGGTCAAAGTTCCCCTCTCTTTCCCTTCTCCTCCTTCCCATGTAGTCAAGCCCAGGGCTGGGAGGTGAAATGTATTGGTTACTGGTAATACTCCTTTTTTTTTTTTTTTTTTTTTTCAACTTTTAAAAATTTTTTTAATTTTTTTTTATTTTTATTGGAGGAGTTGATATGCATCTGCAGTTCACCCAAACTGTAAATATCTGTATTTAAAATGAAACCAACCTAAAATCTGGGCTGATTAGGTGCAGCATCATAGCTCCAGAAGGAAAGAGTAGCCTGTGATCCTTTGCAGGAGCCATAAGAAAAGCCCTGTGCTCTAGCAGAACACTAAAGACTGGTTTCCATGAGTCTTCATTAGTAGTTACAGCACTTGATAGGTAGACTTGTTTCAGAGCCATGGCCCTCTTTCTTCTGGTGCAGTGTGTCCCATAGAAAATCAGATGTGTATATTGTACAAACTTTGTAAATATGATTTTTTTTTTCTGTTTGGGTTCATATATAACTTTTTCTTTTATGATGAAGGTTGCTGAGGTTAAAGGGATTAGACTGATTATGGGAGCAGCTAAAGATGAGAGGGGCTCAGTTTTCTGCAACACTAAACAATGAGATGTTGTCTGACCTCTGTGAACTGCAGGCCACCACAAGTGTCCCTTGTCAGGGTGGATTTACTCTGGTGCTAGCAACAGTCCTGTACTGCTCCTATGGAAGAGATCACTTGTGGGGCACCAAGACTTCCAAATCCATAGCTCAGCCTTTTGGGAGATGCTCTTTGATTTTCCCCTTTAGAAGCTTCAGGAACTTGACAAGCTCTGAAGGAGTCCATGACCTGTGTTCCACCATGGTTTGAGGGAAATCCAGTGGGTGTTGCTGAGCAGTATACGCGTAAGGTGTGGATTTGGGTTTGAGAGACCATAAAAAAACCAGTTTGCGTGCATAAACTGATAGTTCTGGAGCTTTGTGGAATTGATTCACTTCCTGCAGTGCTGCGTTTTCTGCCCAGAGTGGCCTCTGTGCAGAACTTGTGAGCAGGTAAGGGCAAACCCCTGTTAATGTCAGAAGCTGCAGGAAGCTGCTTGCCAACTACTCTTGTTTGCCATGAGTTGCTGTCTGTCATTTTACATTGTATATTGCTGAAAAGTGCTTTCTGGTCAAATAGTGTTGCTTTAAATTGTGCCCCTCCCAACATGCTTGATGTTTGGCCTGATCTACAGGCAAAAGGAGTGAGACAAATCAAAAAATTACTCTTTTTAAAATCCCCTTTAGCCTGTTAACCACCACTGTCAGGAGGCACCTGGGTGAATGCCATCCCTTTTGCTCAGTCATTTATTGCATATACAGATGCTGCACTCACACCATGCTTGCTTACTTCTGAGGCAGGATTTAATTGTCTTAATTTCTCTCCATTTTGACCCTTTTTTTGAATTGGAGTAAAATAGTTTGGAATTGCAAGGCGGACTAGCCATTCCTTTCCCTGATGATCATAAATAGAAGCCAGGTGCCTCCTGACAACAACTTTACAAGATTGAAAGGTTTTTGTGTTCGGGATGTTTTTCTTCTTTTGTCAGCAGTGACTCCATAATTGTAGCAAATGCTGCACTAGAATACAAACTCAAGAGCTTGGTCTCTGTGAGCCACATAGCTTATATCTGACTGGCAGGTACTAAATGTAAACAGTTTTGGGGTGCTTTTTGAGGGTGGGGGGTGGGAGCTTCTGGGTGGTAACTTTGACCAAAAGTAAAATCTTGCTCCTGTACTGCAGCCAGCTTATGATTTTCCAGACAGAAGAGGGATCATTTTAATGCAACAAAGACATGAAAATGTAAATAAATTTTGTATCTCACCAGGGCATGCACATGTAACAAGAACAGGATAGCGATGTCAAGTCGGGTGTGTGTGCTCTGCATGGATTTGTGGTAGGTTAGCCTGGTGCCATGCATTGATGGTCCCTCTTGAAGCACAGAACTTTTGAAAGTATTACTTTAAAATTGGCCTCTCATTGAGGAATGGCACTTACCTAAACTATCGGGGGCACCATTTTTAGGTGGCTTCTTCTCAAGGAAGAAGCAGCCTATTTTTGGTGCTAGTAGGCTATCTCAAACAGATGTGATCTTGCAAATGGAAAGATGCTCCAGAAGACTAGGATAATCCTAGTTTTGATTTTTTTTTTTTTTTT